AATAATTAAACAAAAAATAATTTTACTCTAGGTTAGAAATATATATATATATATATAAAGTTATCAAAAATATTTTTTAACACGATATAAAATATACAATATAAACTTCAATTGTAAAATTATAAATAAATTATTTTAATTAATTATATATTAATAATTTTAATCAAATAGTAATTAACAATATAATACAGTAAAAATAAACAATAAACAATAAAAAAGTTTAAATACCTGTATTTTATTTATATTAATTGCTTTACTTTTTAGATAAATCAACTCACTTATTTTGTTATTTACAAAAAAACAAGTTTTTTTAAATTTTAATAGATCATTTAACATTAATTACTCTAAGGATCAAGTATGTCAATTTACAATTTTTATTCTATTTATTTTTCAGTTAAAATAATGTAATATATCAATTAATATGATAATAATTTATATAAGAAATCGGGAAGAATGAATAAGTATTTTAATTTTATAAAAATAAAATCTACAAATAACTTATATCTTTAAAAAAAATTATAATAATTATAATAAAAAAATCAAGCTATTGATTATCAATTTACACAAGTTTTGCAAAATATAAATTTAAAACAATAAAAATATTAAAATAAAAATTGCTAAAATGTATAATTTTTTATATTTTTTTAAACTCATAAAATCAATCTAATTTTACCAAATTTGGTTAATTTTATTAGTTTTCAAGTTTTAATCCTATTTAATATATTAAATACATATTGACACATAAAATTATGAGATTTTAAGATTCGGCTCCTTTGTTTTTATAATACACATATATACACACACACACATATTAACTATCTAATGTACAAGCGATATTTATATAGAAAATTGTTGTGAGATTGCATGCATAAGCTTGTGCCAAGCCAAAAAAAAATCTTTGCGTTGCCTCAACGCACGAGACAACGCATATATTTTTAAAATTTTTGTTATAATAATTTATTTTTGATTAACCGTAATTTTTTATACTCTTCAAATCAATTTGGTAGCAGCTCTCAGCGCAGCTGCATGAATCAATTCTTTAACAGCTCTTTAAAAACCATTGTAGCTGCTTTGTTTAATTCCTTAACTGCTCCCTTAATTTAAAACCATTGTAACAGCTGCCTTACCCGAGGCCAAGAAAACTTGCACTTTTTTCTTGAACTAATTACCCTCCACTCTTGCAGATTATGAGAGCCGAGAAAACAAAATATATTTGTTCTCTGGAACTTGCTGGATTTTTTACTTTATTTTGTTCTTGCTTCTTCTTTTTTTTTAATGGAGGATAACCTTGTGTGTGTGTATAAATATATATCCTTAAGAATAATATTTATGCACCCCTCATATTTTGTGTTGTGTTCTGTTTAACATCTTTCGAACATACTATATCTATTCCCGGAAGAATATAAACTGTAGAACATTTCCTCCGAGGTCAATTTGGTTCTTCATGATCCCCGAACCTCACTCATAACATGCTTGTGGAAAAACTTATTTAAAAAAGAAGAAGATTAAAAAAATATTATTTTTATTTTTATTTAACATAATATTTTTTCATCATTTTTTTTTTTAAATAAAAACTTGGATTTGCACATTAATTCGCGATTCAACCTACTTGATCAATCCCCAGATCATGCTGTATAACTGTGCATTTTCCCACTCGAATAGATTGGTTCCTGCCTTGGTGCTTACTATATAGGCAATTTTAACCAAAAAAAAAAATTTTAAAAACATTTTTTAAACACTAAAACAAACATACGCCAGTGCATAAGATCTGAATCTAAATTCCACCAGAACAATTTAAGAGAAAATAAGACTTGTGACGTACGTGCCCCCTTTTCTTTCCACCGTCACCTTCGATGATATTGATATATTTGAAGCAATGATTCATATGATCGAAGAAGCAAAAGACGTGCCTTGAATTTGGATCAGAAACATGTGCCTCGGAATTGAAATTAATGTGCTAGTCAACTCAGACTTGTGAAAATAGAGTAAGGGCAACGTGAAACAACATTTTTGCAGGCGACCCAGGCATATTTCAAGCTATGCAAACAGAAGCTCATGATTTTCTGAGTTCAAGAGAAAAATGGCATGCAATTGTAGATTTTAGCAATTCAACCTTTCCTCCTTGATTTTAATTTAAAAGTTCTTTTTTAAAAACAAATTCCGTTTACTTAACCTTTTAGCCACATGACTCATGAGCTTTACCATGATTTTAGCACATTTTACTCTCAATTTAACTTATCTTATATATAGGTTATAACTTATCAAACTTTGCAAAAGTGTCGAAGAAAAGCCGCATGAGGAAGTATTAGGACCTTGAGACCATTAAAGGCGTTGCCTAACTGCTTAATTCTCCTTAATAATAATAAAATGATACATAAACTGATAAATTCTCTAATTAGTAAATAAAAATATAATCATTAAATTTAATTAAACTTCATAAGTCGACTCATAACTTAATTAACCAAACACTTAACTCGAGTAAAGTTTAAAAATAACATGGTTTAAAAGGTAGCATCAATAATTTCTAATTAATTAGACTTTACCTAGGAACCAGTCTAAGAAATTTTGAAATGATTTGAATAAGGGATGCTTATGCTGGTTGCTATTTTATATTACAATTAATTGTAAGGATTATGAACATCACTTATCTCTATATTGATATGATATTGTCCACTTTTGGGCCTAAGCCTTCATTGATTTGCTCTTGGATTATACCCAAAAGACCTCATACCAATGAAGATATTTGTCCATCCTTATATGCCCTTGATCCTCCTCATTTCTAACCAATGTGGGACTTTGGTCGCATACCCAACAATCCTTCCCTCGAACAAAGGACCACCGAGCCTCTTCTCAAACGATCATTTATCCATCCACTCTCTACCAACCAGGATTTTTCATTCTCTACTTCTCTTTACTTCATCGTGTTGGGGTCAGGACACATCCATGAAGTATCCGGAGAGCACTACTACCTGACTTGAGAGTTTTTTGCTCTTTCTAGGTCAACTCCTCTTCACCGTGTTGAGATCAGGACACGTCCATGAAGCATCCGGAGCACACCGCCTATCCAATAAAGCTAATCCATGGATTGCATTGTGATTTAATTAGGGCCCACCGCCTTTTGTCCGGCATTCCGAGGATTCATCCATCATGGCTAACTTGGGGGCATGACTCTGATACCACTTGTAAGGATTATGAACACCACTTATCTTCACATTGGTATGATATTGTCCACTTTTGGGCCTAAGCCCTCATGGATTTGCTCTTGGATTATACCCAAAAAGCCTCATACCAATGAAGATATTTGTTCATCCTTATATGCCCTTGATTCTCTCTATTTCTAACCAATGTGGGACTTTGGTCGCATACCCAACATTAATTACCATATAATATTAATTGGTTATAATATATATATGTGTGTGTATGTGTGTACTAGCTAATTATGATCCCGAAACTAACAAGCCATGTAATTTTTTTCTCCTCGAAGGAACACCTTTCTTTAAAAGGCACTAGGCCTAGGAGGTATAAAAGGAGGACACCAAACCCAACTAAACAATAGAAGCTTATCAAAACGCTAACAATTAACTAGCCCATCAACATATATTAGCCCGGTCCAAGGCCATGGAAGTCGATGGACCCCTCGTGCTCTTTCTATGCATGCAAACATGAAAAACAATTTTAAGTTGATAATTAGGGATAAATCTCATTTTATATATGAGTTTAGTCATTTCTTTCCAAAATATTTTATATATATAAATTATCCTTATGAGCTGATTAGCTTTTTATTTCATTCATTTTGAAGAAAAACTTTATTGATAAATGAAAGAAATGATAAAAAATAATTATTGATTCCTAACAAATTACCTTATACTTTAAAAATATGATCGTTGGAGCAAGTTATATGTCACATATGATCAATTTTTTTAATAAGAAAATAAAAAAATATTATTTGAAAAAAAATTTAAAAATCAACAAATTTTAACGAAGTTTTTTTGAGATTGATATTAACCTGAATTTTATAAATCAATTTTTCTTTTATTTTTTACTTAATCTAAGCTCTAGATTATATAGAGGTCGCATGTCAATCTACCCGTTCGGGTAGTATTCTAAGACTGTGATACAAAGACATAAAATAAATTAATCTTATAATTATTTAAAAACAAGGAAATAAGAAAAAAACAGAATTTTTTTTTGTGGCTTTCACAAACTTACTTTGATTTTTTAAATTATTAATATAAGAATATAAACGAAACAAAGCACAAACAAAGCTTGCTGTCGTGTTAGAAGTTTAGCAAATTAAGACGAGTAGCATGCAAAACGACAACCAGAACCCATCCCATCCCACCCGTGTTCTGTTTTTATACGTGTGTGTATAGTGCTCGAATATCGGTTCGCTTACATTCTATATACATAGAGATTAGCAAATATTTAAGAGCGAAGAGATGGATACAGTGCTTCAGGGATTGTTAGGAGGGGTGGTTCGCCAGTGCTACGCCGTGTTGTGCTTGGGGACAATTCTTGTTTCTGTTTCCATAGCCCATTCAATTCGTGATGTGAAGCCAAGAGATCCTAGAGAACGCACTACTCGACGTCAAACTGCCATGCAAAGTCCTTCAATTAGTCCCAGGCGGCGCAGCTGCTCTTGAATGATATGTTTTGTTTTAGGTTTTGGTTTCATTTCAAGGAGGGAGAATCTCATCTTCGTAAGAATATCTGCTTTTGGGTTCAGAAATAGGATAAGTTAGAAAAATTAAGGGAGGCAATGGCTCCCCTTCTCCACAACGCAGCTTAGCCCCTGGTTTTGCTTGTGTATCTGTTTTACTTCTCTGCTTCTTCCTGTCAGCTCAGCAAGATTTAGAATTGAAGAAAACTTTCTACTAAGCAATTTTCTGAACTTCAATGGAACTTAGATTAACGAGTTGCATCGGAGCAAGCTAACCAAATGGGCGAAACATAGCAACATCGATCAACTGTTCATCCTTTTGCTAAGTTTTTCAATCAAATGCAGGATTTTTAAATTCCATTTACTTGATCTTATGTACAGTAGCTTTATAAGGTTTTTGGCGCATCGATCTTACTGTCACAACCAAACTAGCTTGCATGCCTGGGTCATGTATGTCTGAATATGTATAAATGACTGAATACATGTAAAATTCCACTCGAAAATACAATCTGTTGATGAAAATAAAAGAAAATAAAAACAAAGATGAGTTATAGAACCTGTCAGTTAGCTTGATGTACTTAAACGCGCTGCAGAAAGATTTTAATCTGCCTGCGGTGGCTCGAGCACTTGGGCAAAATCAGCAACGTCGTTGCACCCTGTTTTGTTAATGGTGAACAGGAATGAATGGTCAGCTACAAAGTCTATCTTGGTGGGGAAAGCCATCTGCCACAGCAGCTAAACTGCATGTACTTGGATAAAGGATTAATGGAGTAAACTTAGAACTTGTAATATTGCGACGGGACAACAACGCCTCCGTAGGTTGAATCTGCAGCCCAGAACCTCAGCTAACGGATCCATATAAAAACACTCATACCCAAGCTTTTCTAGACGATCTAACGGGTCCATAAATGATTTCATTCTATCAATCTCACCTCATTCAAAACGATAATCTAATTAATTTCACCTCATGCAAGTAAAGTTCACATCTTTTGTTTTCGTGGCTGCAAGCAAAAGATGAATCCAAACATAACATATTGATCTGTCATATCCATACAATCTATTATTGAGAAAAAGACCTCCTTCAAAGCAAAACAGTAGGACACAATCCTGCATCAAACCACCACAGGAAAGGCCGAACACATTACAATAACCAGCCACGAGTAAATTAAAGTTATATTTGTTAGGCTTTGATCCACGTACACACGAGTTCTCCAGTATGGAAGATTAATTGGCCAGTGAGGGGTCAAGGACGTGGCCTACGAACATTATCACTCCAGTCATGTCTTCTCTGATGACGAAAAGGAATGGGTGGTCAGCAACAAAGTTAGTGGGAAAGTCAATACCTCTCAATGCTATAACACCAGCTGAAGCAGCCGCAGCTTCTGTGCCTTCTTCATTCACTTCAATAAATGATTTATGGAATATGCTTGAAACACACAGGCCCTGCCCTGCAGAAGAGTCTACCATCTCAGTCAAGTCTGCTTCATTAGAGAAAGGCGACACCAATCCTAGTCCCTTTAGAGCGTTGGAAGCTTCAAACCCAAAGGAAATCTTGAACCTCGGGATCCTAAATTCATCCACTTTTACTTGTTTTGGTGGAAGGTGGCGATCTAAGAATCCAGATTCAGAAGCCATTCTCTCAACCAAAGCTTGCAGCCCATCTTTAGCATCTGGAAGGTACAAGTACATAGAGAACTTGCGTTTATCTTCCCCTTGTTTATAAGGAAGAGCTAAGACTTTAAAACCATCATAGTCACATACAAATTGCTTCTTCTTGCTAGTCATAAACGGCACACGAACCGAGCCCCCCTTCAACAGGTAGAAATCATCATCTTTTGTGGTTGATGCATCAAACTTTTCATTCCAAGCTCCTTTGAAATAGAGTGCATTTGTTAAGATGAGCCTTGTCGTTCTATCAACTGACCCAGAAGGCAAAACCTCTTTGATAAGGCCATTGGTCTCATTTTCAGCCCAAGTGTTAACTTCATTGGTCACTTCAACAGCCTTCACCACCACCACCACAAACATCAACATTAAGGCTATTAGCATCTACTTGGAACATCAATAACTAGTACGAAAAGAGCAACATTAGACCTACCTAAGGAATCAGTCCTGGAATTTTGAAAACATTAACACACATGGCTCACTCCTACTGATAAATTACAATCAGTTGAAGACTACATGAAAAGAATCGATTTATCCTTTCAAGTTCCTAACAACAAAATTATTGTAATTTGTAAAGCTGAAAAAAATGGGTTACTAGAAAGTAATCGTGTACCTTGGTTTGGAAATCAACTTGATTAGTCGCAGCCTTATAGTTACTGCCCACAACCTGCGTGAAAGAAGGCTTAAGAGAGAGTGACTTATCCACCCAAACGCCATTGGCGAACTTCAGTCGTGGCCCACCACTGGCGCTCCCGTCGGTGAGAACAACCGCCAATAACTGAGAGGAGAAGGAGCTGAGGTGATCGCTGGACTTGGACTTGAGGAAGGAGAGCAACTGCTCAAGTGTGCTGCCCTTGGACCCGGAGGCGATGAGACTGAGCAGCACCTCAATTGACAGCGGCGAGAACACCAAGTTGGAGTTGTTGGATTCGGTTACGAGAATTTGCTTGGAGAGGCTCAATGCTACGTCGGTTTGGTTCCTGATCGATTCACGGAGATCCATTGGGTTTGGCTGTGTTACTTGTGCGTGGAATTGAGCGTTGCAGGGTGAAAAGATACAGTTCTTGTAATCTCTCTCCTCAGTTCAACGAAGGATGGTTCGTTCCTTTCTCATTAAGAAAACCATTAAATGCTAGCTTTTCAAAGTCAAGCAAATTCTAAATCCGAGGACGGTGGTGGATTCTTCTGTTCTCTTTATAGGAGCCACAACACGTGTCTTCATCGAGCGACGACGTTTTTTAATAACTCATATATCTACAGTTATTGAACTCGATTTACTCGGGAAATCCATGATTCCAGCTTGTTAAGCTGGATTTTATGTTGAACTTGCAGATGAAATATTCAACTCGTTCAATCAATTAAATTTTCTAGTAATTCGATTGAACAAGCTAAATCCATCAGGATTCACTTTCGCATGATCTTAATTACAGAATGTGCCAGATTTTTCAGCGCCGAAGACATCTTAAATCAAAAGCAAATAGTTGACTGCCAAATTTCATCAGGATAAGATATACACTCAGCTGCTTTGTCTCATTATGAAGGACAAACTTTTAGAGTAAAGACCTTCGATATTTATCTCCGGATATATCTTATAGAGTTGACGGATAGATATTATAGAGTAGACGAACGAATGAAGTAGATTTATTAAAAATTCAGAGACAGAAAAAATTGGGGAAAAAGGCATTCATTCCCCTTCCATAACTTACGTTTATAGTATTTTTATCTTGATAAATTTCTTTTTTATTTAATAAAAATTTGGGATATTGAATTATTAATCAGTGAAATACCAGTAACTTTAAAAAAATTTTAAATGATATTTAAAAAAAAAGATTTATAAAAAAATTAATAGAATTCAAGGATCCTTCCTGTTGGACAAAATAAGCTATAAAAGTGTCGTATTGAAATTCATAAAAAAAAAACAATTAAATTGATTAAGATGCACTATACAGATCATAGAAATGATTTTACACTTTTCGATTGTTAAATCTTTTACTCGTAGACTTGAAATTTTATTTATATAAATTTTATTTTGAATTGATCGATAAACTTAAATTCCAATTGATTCAATTAAATTTAGTTAGCCTGGTGTAATTTAGATGAGATTCAACCGAATTAATTTAAAGAACTTTTTATTTTTTAAACTAAATTGACATGGTTTTAGTTGACCAATAAATTTATGATGGGTCATGATATAAATAAACCCTAAGTTAAACGCTGTAAGTATAATAAATGAATCATTTAGCATTCCTAGAATAACATTTCAATATTATAAGTGTTAAAGAATGGTTGTTTTATGAACGGAAGTAACTCAAGATGACATAAGCATCATTATCTCTGTCAAATCTGCCTCACCAGAGAAAAGCAACAACAGCTCTAATCCCTTTAGAGCTTAATTTATAGGCTTTGAAATTAAAAAAAAAAATATTTTAATTAAATAAATTAAGTGAAAATTCTTTAAGGTTAAAATTTAAGGCTTACATTAACTTATGTTAATTTTTTATTAAATAAATAAAAATAATGAGATTTAAATTCATGATCTTTTAATCATTAAAACTTTGATATCATATTAAATAATCATCTTAATTTAATAATTTAAATTGTTAAATAATATTTTAGAATATAATTTATATTATTTTCTAATATACTTTAACAGTTTTTATCACCACCGTCAACAAAAAGCTATTGACATCAACTGATAACATCACTAGTAAACGACTAATGAAAGAATAACAATTTCTGTGTTATAGCATCCCCATCTTATAATCATTCAGGCTTCCCTATTGAATTTCCAGATTTCATAGTTAACAGAGGATTATTATAAGTTCCACTAACAACAAAAATGTAACATAAGATTTGTCAATAAACTGATCGAGTAAGGGAGCTGAGCTGAGATTTAGACACGGACTCGAGGAAGGAGGGTAACTGATTTGGACCCTGAAACGATGAGGCTGAGCTATATGCCTTTACGATACGACCCATTTATCATTGCACAGATGACCTATATAGATTTCCAGGCCTTCTTCTTGTGTTCGCATGTTTTAAAGTCCAAATGTGGCACCTGTTTTGATTTGTTTTTTCCTTCTACGGTGAGCCCTATGCCAATAACCCAATTTGAAGATTACAGTGTCCATCTTGGGCTCCGAATTTTCGATGACACTTTTGTCTGCTGATTATGGAATTAAGGTCGACTTTGTGGCAATGGCAGTATTTATTTTTTAAAATATTTTTAAATTTTTATTTTTGTGCATCAAAATAACTAAAAACTATATATAAAAAATAATTTGTAGCAAAATAAATTCAAATTTTTTAAAAATTTTGGTTGAAAAGATATCTTAAACACCCTTCTGAGATGCATTATCACATTTAAATTTGTTACAATAGCTTGATAGACAATAAATTAAAAAAAAATTATAATGCTTAATTATTCATTAATCTAACATTGAAATATTAAATGAAAAACAATAATTAAAATAAGATAAAAAATCTGAGTTAATCAAATTAATTTGTTGCAACTAGAGTTATGATATAGTTATAATATTGAGATAAAAATTATATTAAAATAAATTATAAAATTTAATCTAATAAACTTGAAATTAAAAAAATAAAATAAATCGCTTCTGGTGAATGATTTGTGAGGACGGAGCATGAATTCCCCTCCCTAGTGTTGTTATAACAATATTTAGTATTTTTTTAATTTTTAATTTGAAAGAAAGTTTGAGATTTAATGATAATTGAGGGCCCACCCACCAAAAACTCGAATACCCTGTAATAATAATAATAATAATAATAATAATAAACAAAAGATACCAGCACACTCAATTAAATTATATATAGTAGCTCGCCATTCATATTAAAAAAATAATAGGAGTATTGTATTTCAAAGTTTATTTTGTAGAAAAGGTTTGTCTCCACTCTATGGCTGCTTTCAACGTGAAAAACGACACTCGACTCAAAGAATCTCTATGGCTACCCCACAAATCAGTTTGATTCTTACTTCGCTCTGCCGTGCCTTTGTGAACTTGTCGAAAGGTAATCTATGTAATGCTGTCCGCTACCAATCGAATTATTTTATTTGCCTTCAACCACCTCCTCGACTGAATTCTGCCGAGCGATTAATCTTACCACCTCTCGGGACAGACCATACTCTTTGTTAAATCGTTGATTTTTTTTTTTTTCGTTTTAGTAACTTCTATTTTTCAAAGAGCGCTCATCTTATATTTTTTAAGGTATTTTTTTAATGTTGATAGTAAAAATAACCACATTATCAAATACAAAATTATATTATCACTAAACTAATAATTAAACCTGCTGTCATCACAATTTCACATGGAAGGAATCCTCCTTGATTAAACTATCCTAAAGATGACAAACTATGTCAAGGGTGTGGAGGGGAGATACCGCTGCATAAGAGAGCAAATAGAACTTGAAACATTGTACATTACATGTTTTGTACTACAGTTTAAGGATTGGAACAAGAACAAGAACCAAATGCCAAAACTTCATTTTCATGGAAATGTTATGTTTCTTCCTAAAGCCTCACACAGCTTCACACGAAACATATTAAATCCTCGAGTCTCTGTCTCATTCAAATTCAGAAACATTGACGAAAACATAATTATATGAAGATGCTCTGTTGTCAAATGCGAGTAGTTTTATAATGATCAATTGGTTGATTTTCGTTCCTGTTATTCACAAAGTCTTCTACTCGTGAGCCTCGATCTCTCTCTTTGTATCGGCTGGAGCCCAGATTGTATCGAATCCTTTTTTCAAGTTTTATGTAACGAGTTAACTTTTTTTTTAAAAAAAAATTATAAATAAAAAGCATATTAAATAAAATGAGTTTGAAGAATATACTAGATCTAAAAAACTTAAATTTAGTAATTAATTAAGCTCAAGATAATGTGGATCTAACAAACATATTAAACTTAAAAATTAGAATATTATCAAATTCTAAGACTATATGCTTGATCATAAACAATTCTTTACAATAAAAATATTAAAAACATGATCAATCATTATGTTTCTATTTAAAAATGTATATAAGGTTTCTTAAGGAACATATCTATTTACTATCTCATTAATTAATGATATGCAACAAATATTTATCTCTCGTTAATATTACCATAAACAAAGGACTTTGAGTTATTTTTTTCTTTAAAAACGATAAGATTTAGGTAATATAAATACCCCTTAAATCATTTAGGTAAAATGTCAATACTATTAATATCTTAAGATAAAAATATATAGATTTTAAAGTATTAATCAACTTAAAAAAACTTAAGAACAAATATTTTTTTTCTTGAATTTAAGATTATTTTAAGTCATTTATTGCTTTAATTCATTTAATACTTTTCTCGTTAATATACTAATTTTATTATTGAAGGGTCTTTAAATCCTTCAATTGAAATTGTTTTTGCAAGTACCCGAGTTTTTATTATAAGTTTGGAGTTCCTTGGATTAAGAAAAGGACATCCCAGCATTTAAACATATTAATTAACCGTTATTTCAAATATTTAATAACATTTTATTTACATATCTTAAATTTTAAAACTTCATCATTATGATCTTTATTTTGTTTTATTTTTCTTTTTAATTGATTACCATCCGCTTTATAAATCCTCAATTGACTTTGTTTCCACTAAATCCTCAATTGACTTTGTTTCCACTAGACATCAAGTTTGAGCCATGGATAAATATGTTATGGTTATGAAAGATGCAAAAATTTTCTATCATTCAATAATTATAATGCATTTGGTTCTCTCTGAACATGTGAGAATGATCTAATCTCTAGTGTGTGTTTGTTATTGTGGTGTAATGTATTTTTTAAAAATATATTAAAATAATTTTTTTAGATATTTTTTATTTTAAACATCAACATATCAAATTATTAACACTAAAAAAACATCAATTTGTATTTTCAAGGCAAATGCATTTTTAAAAGCTACTTGAAAATAAAAGCTATCACACTTTCAAACATATTTTTAATAAAATATGTTGATTACTATCATCGAAAGAGAAATTTTATAGCACAACATATATAGTAAAACAAAGAATTGATATTTATAAGTTTTTTTTAAAAAAATAGCTCTAAATTATTGGGATTTTGTTTATTAAATTCAATAATTTTTAAAATTATTTTGAAATAACTTAAAAACAATCTAATTAAGTGATAAACTAATTAACATAACTAATTAAAACTAAAAACAAATTAAAATTTTAAAATCTAAATAGA